TCTGTCTGTCTGTCTGTCTGTCTGTCTGTCTGTCTGTCTGTTTGTCTCTGTCTGTCTCTCTCTCTGTCTGTCTGTCTGTCTGTCTGTCTCTCTGTCTGTCTTTCTGTCTCTCCGTCTGTCTTTCGCTCTGTATATGCATGTGTGTGAGAGAGAGAAAGAGAGACAGACAGACAAACAAACAGACAGAGAGACAGACAGACAAAAAGACAGACAGAGAGACAGACAGACAAACAAACAGACAGAGAGACAGAGAGAGAATATAACCGTCTCAAACAGGTTTTTGGTATTTTGTTTAGTGAAGTTCAAGAGATCTGAGACTGACTTCTGCTTTGAAAAAATTTTGATTTCTGTGAAAGTATTTGTTTATCATAGCTTTGATGTGTACGTTTTTCAGATTCCAACAACTTTCATCGCACAAATCCGACATCAATATACCACAGAAGCTCACCGAAAATCCAAGGAAAGATTAGTAAGTAACAATGATAATAATAACGATGATAATAATAATGATATTAATAATAATAATAATATTAATAGTGATAGTTAAATAGCATTTGTATAGCGCAGATCCCCGCTTGACAGCATATTCTATGCACTGACCACTATATTATTACCCCAGCAGACCATAAAACAGTCAGAAACAGGGTGAAGTGAGGAAAATGTGTGTAAAGTGCCTTTCCCAAGGACACAATATCATGCCCTTGACGGGATTTGAATCCACAAGCTTTCAGTTATGGTTCAACCAGCGAAACCACCTATTGTTTCATCAAACTTTGTCCACTGTTAGGGATATATTTGTGAGGCATCGCGGTGAAATCAGGCGCTTGTCAAAAAAACTGAAATCACAGAAATCGGCATTTTTCTTACGGTTGGGCAATTTTTTTTCTAATTTTCTTTTATTTTGGCTCAACACCTTTTATGTCCATTTAAAAACACATTTTTGTGTGGATTTTACTGAAAAACACAGATTAAAGGAACAAAAAAGAGAGAGATAGAGGGATGGGGGTGGAAATAGCAGACAGAGAGATTGAGACAGACAAATTTTACTAGGGAGAGAGAGACGGACAAATACAGAGAGACAAAGAGAGAGAAACATAAATGTGAGTACTCATGTATACACACAGCCACTAACTCTTCATGTCCCCCCCCCCCCCCCGTCCATTTGTCCAGTTATCCCGACTGCCGTGGAAGAAGGACAAAGACAGGTCGGATATCTACAAGAAACCCCCGCCCAGCCCCGACCAGGTAAGTGAACGCTCACTCTTCTCATGTATCGATGTGATGGCTGGGTTCTGTACTGCATATACTGCGGGAGTACTTTTTAAAACTTGATTTTACTTTTTTTTAAAAAATGTTCATAGGCTATCGGAGTTCTAGGCCTCTGACCTGTCGATATGGGGAAAAATTCTCTAGTGTTTTCGTGTTTCGAGGTGAGGGTCGGGTTCTGTACTGCATATACTACGGAAGTACTTTTTTACTTGATTTTACTTTTTTGAAAAATATTCCTAGGCTATCGGAGTTCTTGGCCTTTGACCTGTCAATATGGCGAAAAGTTCTCTAGTGTTTTTCGGCCTCGTTTAGTTGTTGTGTAGAGTGCTTCCCTCACCTCGGATGCTGGGCCTACATAACGTGACCTCAGTGCTTTCTTGTCCTATCTCCATTTTTAATAACTGTGAAAACAGTTCATAACAAAGAGTGAGTTTAAGAAGAAGTCAACCCCCCTGGGGGGGGGGGGGGGGGGCACTGACTGTAGTGTCTTTAGGCCATTCCCAAAGGGGGGACAGTTCTCGTTCAAGCACAGAAGAATTGTAAATGGGTTGATTCATGTCACGCTCATAACTGTGCCTGATCTACAATAGGGAACTGCTGCTTTTTCTTTACTGATCCTTACTATTGTCATTTTCCTCTACTTCTTTTGTATGTTTGTCACAGTCTTGTGACCTGCTATTTCCGGGGTGCCTTGATAGTCGAAGCAGGCTTTGTGCTGTTGAAGCTAGAGAGGTGAGCAGAGTAAGTCAAATTCCCTGTAAGGACTTCTCTGTTGACACCCATCCCTTGGCGCCCATATGACCTTATGCAGTTGTGAGCACCGTAAAATCCTCTACTATAAAATTATATATATAAAAAAGAAGTCACGTTTTCACTGTTGAAAAAAAAATGGAGATACGACAAGACCGCACCGAGGTCGTGATAAACTGAAATATGGGGGACCACGGGATTTTCTTCGGTTTTAGCTGCGTTTTCAGTTCTAGAACTCCTATTTTTCTCTGCTGTCTCTTGCATTTGTGTGTAACATGGTGGTGGAATCAAGGCTGCTGTTGTTGTACATGTTATGGCGAGACTGGTGTGTGCCGCCACTTACTGGGTGGTTGGTGGATGCTCTGCTGATGTGATTTGCTTCTTCTATCCTTTCAAACATGATCTATTGTCCTGATCTCTCTATGTTACTCTCTTGTAACACCTAATCTTCGGCACTTTTATGACCTTATTGTGTTTCAAGTGCCGTAAAACATTTATGTGGGTGGTTGGCGGGTGCTCTGGTGTGGTTTACTCCTTCTTTCCTACCTATCATCTATCGTCCTGATCTCTTATCCTCCTTTTTTGTGTTTTTTACTCTCTTGTAACATCTCTATTCTTCGCCACTTATATGACCATATTGTGTTGCAAGTGCCGTAACACACTTACTAAAACTACAACTTGTTGAACTTGTGTCCACCAGCCGGAGGTTCAGGACGGAGTGATCCGAGTTCAAGCCCCGCACCTGACCAAGAGCTCGGCGCTTATCCAGTTGGAGCCGGCCACGACCGCCGCTGATGTGGTGGCGAAGTTCAAAGGTGGCGACGGTGTGCTGCACCGAGATGACAGGTGTGTGTGTGTGTGTGTGTGTGTGTGTTTGTGTGTGTGTGTGTGGGTGTGTGCGTGTGGGCTGGCATGTGTGTGTCGCGCGTGGCTATGTATGAATGCACTACTGATAAACAGAAGTCAGTAAAAAAAAATAATTTTAAAAAAATGAATTGTTTTAAAAACCCATAAAAAGTAACATTGAAAAAAATGATATAACATTTTTTAAATTACTGGTGCTTGTGTCAGTTCTATTTCTTCTTTATATACTTTTACTTTTTACTCTTTCATTTTCTTTTGCCATTAAGCGTTTTCTTTATTATAGACCTATATTTTATCCTGTTTTCATCTTTTTATCTCGTACGAAATTTTTGTGCAGTACGATAGGTGAGATGGAGGAGACGAACGGCCACACCTTCCGTAACCCCAACAATGCTCAGTACGCACATGACTGTGACTACCTGTACGAGGTCGGAGGCAACATTGGTACGTATAGCTCGAGATGGT